GGGAAAGAGGGAGTGCTGTTTGTCACAAACAATGTAATTCAGGTGTCAGCCACGGCTTTAAAAAAAGAAGTACTAATTTGAAGAATGGGTGATATCTGTAGTAGTGACTACTAACTAGTGTTTCATTTCCTCCTCTAGTTGTATGTCAGTTCCAGTTGTCATGAGAGCTATTTTCAGGAACGCTGCCAAGGTGGAAGCTGCTAGTGAAACAAAAGACATGGAAACGGGCACAGAACAAAAACCTGAATTGCGATGTGAGCCAGTTACAGATTCTAATAGTCTTGAAGGGAGTCTTTCTGCAGCTGGTCAGCAAGATCTGGTAGTGAAAGATGAGCAAAGTGCTCAAGACAGCACAGAAGAAAGTCTTTCCACAGCCGAACTGGAAACTTTGGGTGACAGCACAGACAAGAGCATCCCTACAGTGAGCACACAAACTTCATGCAATACAATAGAAGAAAGTAATTACACAGCTTGTTCGGAAGCTGTTATGACAGATGCTAAGTGAAACACAAACTCAATCTATTGTTTGATAAACAAGAAAGGAATACTTTGTCAAGAGCAGGTTTTTTTTTTTTTTTTGCAAAAGTAGTTGAAGAGAACTTGGCAAGCTAAGTTTACTGTCTACTTAATTTTCTTTGAGTGTTTCCTCTTTCTATATCATTAAATAGAGGTAATACTCTTGAATTTCAAGTTTCCAAATTTGGCAAGTCTAACAATGCTCTAGGAATCTTTATTTTTGTCTGCATTATATTCCACTGTAGTACTGAAAAAAATTGTCTGATGTATGTGATACAGGCTGTAATGTAACGTGCACAGAAGAAAAGTAATCTTTGTCAATGTCAGCATTAAATTAAATAAATAGAAGGAAAAATTGGTTTGAACAATTTTGTACAAATGTAATCAATGCAGTCTGATTAAGTTTGTCTCAGCCTAGACCCACCTTGTTTCAGACATGCAGAATGGTTACAAACAACTTAAACTCCTCACTTACTGTAAACAGTTTAATTACTGTAAAATGGAGATGGGCCTTTACAAAGAAAAGGCTTCCTGACCAGAGGAATTTGCAGTCAAAGTTAAGGCAAGCAAAGGAAAGGAAGTCAAATACAGGATGCTGGCATAGAAATACAAAGTTATCAGAAATACAGTTGCATGGCTGACAGCATGTTTCTGAGAGAACGTGAAGGCAGGAAGCCCTGCTTCCCTAAAAAGTTGGGCTGGGGGGGGAGGGGGAACACCATGGGAATGAGGGGGAAGAAGACTCAGGCTAGAAGGACTGGCAAAATAAATACAAAAGTAACATCCTTTAGACTGGAAGAGTGGTGTGGTCCAACAGGTTCAGAGCAGACAGTGTAACAGAGTAAAACAACAGAATTATCAGTACTTTTGCATTTGCAAAGAGTGGTATGTAAATAGAACTGTAGGAAGAAGGGGAAATTTTTTTTTTAAACTAAAGGCTGTGCAAGTGCACTGCATAGTGGTTGCAAAGGACAGGAAGAAGATTTTGACATAAGGTGAAAAATTCCTGCAGTTTTTATGTAGTACTAGGGAGAGTCACAGCACTCTGCATGTCAGGAGATCCTGTTCTGTTTTGAATAGAGCTAGCATATCATCAAAAGCAACTTATTCTATAAGTGTAGCTCATCCATAGCATTAGGCATTCTATGCATATAATCAGTTTTGATTCATTTTTTTGACATTAGAAGAAACCATACAGGCAACCTGCTCTACTTCCAAGAAGAGAACAATAAAGGGTATAACATCAAATTCTCACATAGAACAGAAACATGTTTAGTGAATCACTGTAGAGCTTTTGAAATCATCTCACCTTTCTATGAAAGTCATTGTTTAAAATTGAAAGCAATTTAAAACTTTTTTTTGGACAGGAGCCAAAGTATGGTAACAGTTTATGGGAATAACCTCTACTAGGAAGCATCAGAATCAGGTTTTCCTGAAATTAAGTGAACCATGAGCTCGTTCCTGATCCACAAACAATCCAATCCAGTTCGGACAGTTTTAAATACCACAAGACAGAGAAACTAATGTCCTAGTTGCTGGACATGATGTAGTATGTCCAGTGACAAGCCCAGTTGCTCTACTAACCAAACAGTCTGCTCCTTAACCCAAGCCAGGGTTAGCCTTTCAGGATCTGTGCAGAGTTTTGCCTTGCTACAATCAGACTGCAAGCAATCACCCTTACCATTATTTCTACAAATTTTGCCAGCGCTGCCATTATGTCCATATTTTCCAGCTTTAACTGCATTGCACTCCGTCCCAGCTGGAGCTGTATCACTAAGGTCCATGTCCTGAACAAAATCTAAAATGTCTCCAAGATGTGACTGTTCCTGGATAGAATTCAGGTACTTAAGCATATCATCTTCATGCTTTCCAATCACATCTAGAAGATGATTTATCTTACTCAAAGCGGAGTCATGTCCATTAAGATGACACCACGATAAGAGAGCACTGAAAAGTAGAAAAAAAGTAAATGAAAAAAGTGATTGCATGTACCTACACAAAATTCCAGTTCCTGGTAGGGTGACAGCAATGTGACAAGGTATCTATATAAAAGTACATACATTTCATTTACAGTTTCTGGGAAATTCAAGCAACACAGTTGAAAATATTAAGCTTATAGATAACTTTCCATGAGTATCTTGGGGAGGATATGCGAATGACCACTCTATACCCAGGTAGGTAACTCCCTCTATTCCAGACCTGAGAAGTCTCAACTAGGTTGTTAGCTTTGGCCAGATTTGTTGTTATTACAACACCGCTACCAAACAACAAATAAAACACCCCCAAACAAGAAAAACCCCATCCTCCACTCAGTTTTAAAGGTTCAAAACTTACTTCAGGGTGCCTCTGAACTGGCCACATGTCACCATCAGCTCAGCACCTTGTCTGTAACCCTGATTGAAGCCTTCCTGGAGTGCAAGCTCTTTCCCAGCCTCAATGCCATCCCTATAGCCTTCCTGTAACAGAAAAAGTGGTGCAAGCGGCTTTTCATGATGTGCAAAATTAGAGCTACAAACATCCTTTCAATGAGCTATACTTCTCTATTTGCTAGATATTACTCATATAATTCAAGAGTTATATGGGATGGTGATGGAGTGAGTGACATATAAATACACATAACACTGAGTGCACAAAACTTTTTTCTGTAAGAAACTGCTAATGAGTACAATGCAAATTAATTTCCTTATCCTCTAATAATGCTATCACGTAATGTAGAACAATTCTTCTTTCACACCAAAATTCAATGTTGTAAGAGTGAGAACTGTTATTTGATCACAGTAGAAAAAAAAATAGTGGCCTTTCTAGAGAAACAGCCAGGAACTAGAATGTTTCTGTATTGCACTCAACATACAGTTTTGACCTCAAAAAAATGTTAAGGTTTTTGCAGTATCCACTGAGAAGATACCACACAGTTTACATAAAAACAATAAACAGCCCCTTAAGAAAATCACTTATTTTTATTTTTATTTTTATTGTAAAGGGACTCAATTGTGGAAACTCTTCCTTGGCAACTAATGCAACAACCCCTCGACAAAATCCTTCCTCATTAGTGGCCTAGACAACAGCTTCCATTCATGTTCTTCAGCCAAATGTTGTTCACTCACAAACAGATGAGCTGTTGGCCCCACTCTGAATAACATATCTGAGCGCAGCAGGCCTGCAATCATTATATTTGGTGAAAAAATTCTATCCCAAGGATTCATATCCACTGAAGTCACCTAGATTTTTTTATACTTGTTTTTGTTCTGTGTAGAATTTCAAAGAGGAAAGGGTTGTGGAAACCAGCTTTCATAAAATACGTTTTCAGTAGGAAAATAAATAAGTCCAGCAGGAAAATAAATAAGCCAAAGAACTATAGAGATTGCAATAACCACTTGTTCTACCAGGAGCCACACATCTGAATGATGAATATTACTAGGAGAGTGGGGGGAAAAAAAAGCCCATGTTTCTTTATTAGCACTGTTTAATTATACTGCCCCACATTTACTAGCAGTAAACCTACAACCGTGAAGCAAAAAGCTTGAATCCAGATTTAGCGTTGCATTCCACACATGCACATACTTGTATAGAGGGAGTCAAGATCTTTTGCTAAACTACTACGTGCTCTGACAGGCTACTTGGATAGCGTTGCTGCAACTCTCTGCTCTACATTTTCCTGATGTTCAGAAGAAACTATACCACAATAACTTTTAAGCAGCCATTTTTAGTTTTCCCCTTAAATCAACCATATCAATCAAGGCATGTATCAGTAAATAAAAAATGGTTAAAAGACTATAAAATCATGGTTATAGAAATACCTTCAATCTTTTCTTCATGGTGCTATTCCATTCTTTCTGTGCTAGATATATCTCATCTGCATCTTCATCAAATATATCCTCACTGGATTGGCTGATGGCAACTTGTACCCAGGACATTACAGCACCAGTGACTGTGACCTTTGTTTACGTGTTAAAGCAAATACTGGGAAACTCTCCAAAGTCCTTCTGACAAAGTACTGCATTAGAAGCACAGGCAGAAAATGTGAGTTCTGAAGAGAAGTCACTTCAGGAGCTGATTATTTAACCTATATGTTTGTTTCCACAAAGACACTGGATGCTGCTTACAGCTGTAGCTGTCAAGAGAAGACAGTCAGATCACCAATTGTAAAACAACTGTTTCAATTTGCAAGGGCAGTTTCAGACAGTATTTTCTTCATTTATTTAGGTCCAATGGCAGTGACAAACACAAGCACACCAAATTAGTATGTCTAAATGTTGCTAATACGTGAGCAACAGGCAGAAACAACTTTACAATTTGATTTTGATAGCAGGTGACAATAGCCTCATATAGCTTCCATGCAGTACATTAAGTTATATGTAATTGCTTGCAGAGTTTTAGCCTTAGTAACTGACACTGGACATTGATTTTCAGTTTCATGGTTATGCCAAATGTTTAACCCAATCTTGTTCATCTTGAACAGAAATACTCCTGTATACTGTGAATAAAGAATTGGCTAGTTCTCCTCTAAATGGAAAAAGACAGAATTGGATTGTTTCGTCTTCTGCACTGAAAAAAACCTTAAGAGGCCATTTGCAGTTAATCAAATAAATTGCTGGGAATTCTTATAACCCATAAAATACTATCTTTCTCAATAATCTGTTAAAATGGGTATAGGGTACTGATTTTAAATTTCATTTTTGCATTTGCCATATACAATTTTTTTTGATCTTAATCAAAGCTTCCAGAATTTCCAGCTCCGTTGTATTCAATCTTTAGGAAAGGATCCAGTAATTAAATGACTGGTCCAAGAATCTCAGCTTTTGCTCAAGTTCACACAGATCACTAATGCAAATTGCTTCATCTGTTTATCTTTTTCCACATCCTATTACAAAGCAGTGAAAACATCCCTATTATTACAACTTACAACAGTATTTCAGGCTTAGAAATGGTTATGTTTCAAAACAGTCTGACATTCTGACAGGGAGTAGAAACATGGCATAGCCATCTCTATTAACCCCATTACCACCTGGTTTTGTTAGCTCCAGGGTGAGTCCATAAAACTGTCAAAAAAAGTCCCCAAAATGAGGAAAAGAGCAGAGAAGGACAGACAAAATACTGCAGTTGTGTCAGTCTGTGCAGGAGGGAAGGAAGGGAAGAAACAGTTCAACAAGTTAGAGACGAAGTGACTGGAGAGATCTATACCCCAAATTATTCCTGATACGTTCTCAGACGGTGCTACCGACCATGGCCGAAATGCAGAGGATGTCAACAGCACCAAAGGACATAATTAAAGTCCTGTGCCTGGCCACGCTGCTTTTTCTGGGACACAAACGGTTGGATCCTTCCAATCCTCAAGCTCCCTCACTGTGACGGGTGAGGGACGCACCTCAGAAGTCCCCAAACCTTTCCAACCGATGGTTTGCAAAAAACCGCACTGAGCGCCTCTCCCAGGGCAACGTGGCGTCAGCGGTGGTGCAGCGCTGCAGGCTGTGACCAGCGAGCGGCCTACGCTGGAGCCGAGGCTGTGCCGTGAGGTCCCTTTCACGTGTTGTCCCGATCCCCTCACCTCTCTCTCTCTCTGACTCTTTCGTGTGCGAAACATTAATAAATAAATAAATAATACATTTCAAAAAAAAGAAAAGTAATAAAAAGGCCCAAATTCCCCTGCCGCAGCATGTCCCAGGCGAGCACTTGCTAGGGCAACCCCGAACAGGCTGGGCTGCAGACCAGTGGGAACAGGGCGGCCTCGAAGGAGGAGCCGCGGTCCCCGTCCCC